CTAATGACGGGTAAGGCCGCGGGAACAGTGGTGGGTAAACTACATGTAGAAGCCCTGGTATGGTATGAAGGATAAAATGAAAAAGAGGAGTGTGAGATTAGGAAAGAAGCATCTTGTTATAAAATACCGTGTATGTTCACAGCAAAAGTATTATTATTATTATTATTATTATTGTAACATACAAAAATGATAATACATATATGTACCGTATAAGAATGCTTTAGTAGACAAATTGAGAGTTGGGACGGGGGAGGTAGGTCAGAAAGTTTTATTCGTAAGAAATTAAACAGGAGTGAAATATAAGACCGCATTCACAGCGAGTTGAGCCATGGCTCTACAAATCCGCGAATTAAATATGGCTGACGTACATGAAAGAAAAACCGCCTATAATCTTTCGATAGTCTCTCCGCCTCTCACACGCCTCCCCACGCGTCGTCCTCGGCGGGGGTACAGTCATTAAATCTCGGCTCCATTCGCCATTCGGAAGCTACCTGAGAAATATTAAGTGCGCATGCTTATCAATTAAACTCGAGGTGAAGAAAGCATGGCGGCTGGAGGCGATCGAAGGAAAAAAGCCATTCTTTTCTATTATCTTTCAAAACAGAGACGAAAAAGGAATGAATTGGCCCTTAGAGCACCAATGAATCGGCTACCTACGGAGATAATGTCACCAGAGATATTCACGGAGATACCCAGTCCCACATGGCGAACGGAGCCAAGATTTAATGACTGTACCCCCGCAGGGATGACGCTTGGGGAGGCGTGTGAGAGGCTGAGAGACTATTAAAAGATTGGGCGGTTTTTTCTTTCATGTACGTCCGCCATATTTAGTTCGTGGATTTGTAGAGCCATGGGTCAACTCGCTGTAAATGCGGGAAGAGGAGGAGGTCGCCAGTTGTATGTAGTTGTCCAGACTACCAGATAAATTATCTTCCAGTGTGACTATTATTATATTTCTTTCAGATATAAAATGAAATTCATGCTGTTAGTGTTTTCTTGTTTGCTGACGTTGAAGTCAATACAAGGTAAGACTTCCCATTCTATTTTACATTCCATACTTTTATATACCCTCTGATAGCAGGCCCCCCTAAAATATTATACAAAATCACACTGTGGGGCTTTTCGCTTTCAACATTTTTGTAACAGACAACCAGCACAAACCCTGGTGAAAGAGTAAGTTTTACCTACTTAAGGCATCATGTCGTGTCAGGTATTGATTGACAGCATGTGACTAAGTTGTATTTGTTGCCCAGCAAACACAGAGCGTTTTATAGCGTTACCTTAATATTACCTTTACGTTTTTTTCTTTTTTTTTTGGCTATATAAACATTATACCTTTATATATCAAAATCACATTCTTTGAAATTTCAGAAATTTACGCTGTATGACTGAAATATTCATTGTCAAAAATGAGAAAATTATGATGACAATTTGTAATATTTACTGTCAACATTGAAATTCACTAGTCCGTATCCTCAGTAGAGTGTGGATAAATATCAGAAACTTAGAATCCTAATTACGATTAAACGTTAAGTACTAAAATAAAAGGTCAATGACTTCAAGGGTTTTGAAGCTATTGCAATAACATTTTGGGAAATTTTAGAAAACAAAAGGTGTTTTTAATAAATCCTGAACAGAGCACATTTCGAGGAAGAAGACGGCCACGGTCAATCTGTCAGCAAACAGGAGGCCACATTGATCATTTGTTTAAGTAAAATTTAAGTAGACCCGAAAGTCATTTCCTTTGTAGCGGCATTTGTCAACATGATTTTGATTGATGATAATATCATATCTGTTTCTTTTTAACACTTGGAACTTTCAGAGTTGACCAATAATAATGATTAAAATGTGCAATGTTTCATTTCAAAAGCTTGTGAACTGAGGAAGCTTATGAACTTTAAAATTTGTAGCTTTTTTAGGACCATATGACTCATACTTAAGGTTTAACGCTCTTTGTGTGACTAAACGGAAGAGTATAAAATATAGATTAAACGTTCTTTTGTCATAAATTAAGTAACAATTTTAGTTGAAACATTTCGCTGTGCCATCTGTCAGTTCATCAGTTGCAGAGTGACGCAGGTGGTAATCTCGAGAGTCCCCCCCGCCATTGCCAAGAATGGTACAGAGAGGTCATCGTACAGGGGAGGGAGAGTGCATCTGCCTTCGTCTCTGTTTAAACTGTCAGGTGTTTTCCTGATCCATATGGCCTCTTTTATCCCTCAGTTCCTCTCGTCACTTACCTTTTGTAGAAACTTAGAACCCTTCCAGTGTATAATGTGGTTTTCCTGCGATGTGTGATCCGTGATGGAAGATCGTTACCTTTCTTGTAGGGATTGTGTCCTTTGGGCTCTATGGAGTATTTTTACTCCTTCGTCTGCTCTTTCAACTTCCTCCCTGTGTTCCTTTACCCTAACGTACAACTTTCTTTCACTGTCACTCGATCTGAGATATTTTTAGAAAATACCACACAATTGTTAAGTGCACAAATAATAGACTTTCAATGATTTTTTTTTGTTCTAAATAGAATAGCTTTGACTTGTGATGTTTCTTTCATCTAACTTGTGTTAACAATTTTTTCAGGCCACTATTGGACCGATTGGTATGATCAAGACCTAATTTATGATGTTCGGGAAATCGAATCTCTAACAGAACATAAGGTGATTTTTTAAAAATGTCTTTGATTAGAGGGAATGATGATACAACGATATGTAAAATAATCTAGAATGAAGAGCACTCGGAAGAGTGAATGGAATGCAATAAAAATGTTTGAATACATATTACAGAAGGAGGGGTTGTGTTTTGCTCTCGGTGACATTTTGCGGTAGAATGCATTATTAAAAGAAAGGCGCTAAAACCAAGTGTTACTATTATTTAGAAACTAGGTTACGTCTGTGGCGGATGTAAACCCATCGGGGCAGAGTGTCGCGTGAAGGGGTCAACCAGTACGTTCACGCGCTGGTCTGGAACTGTTCCAGACAGATCGATTCAATGTTTACCCACCAAGGGTCTGTTCTGCCTAATGCCCTACCAACCCGTTTGGATCCGCAACTATGAGATAAGGTACTTGTGCCCTTCTACAGGTAAGTGACTGTTGTAAGGGGTTGCTGTAGATATGTTCTTTTAAAGGTACATACGAACCGAGCATTGGTGGAGCGTGGATTCCCAGTAACACGTGTAAACCACTTCTACTAGAGTCTTATATGATTCAAATAAATTCGACATGCCAAGGGATAAACTGAATAGATAACTCGATCAGTCATAAAAGACCTTTAGACTGCTCCTTTCTTTACATTTTTGGTTGTAAATTTAACCTACTTTCGTGACCTACTTTCCTGCCCCATTGACATACATCTTAGAATGCCAGCAGAAAAATCTGTTCAAACATCGTTTTCGGGTAAAATTAAACAATGCCTTTTGGTAATTCTCTTAGTTATACTACTTGAAACTATATGCTGGCATTTGGTTGATTTTTGTGACAAAAAATTGACTTTGTATGCATCTTAAATTACCTTGACCGATGTGAAAATTATGCCGAAACGCAAGGTTGCAGAAACTCTGTGAAAAAAAGCCCCTTTCTTTCTTATATATATACGCAAAGAAACTGAAGATATCCGTACAATTACCGTAAACACGAAGCAATAATTGGGGGGAAAGAGAATTTCTCCGATATGGGTCTTGCATTATACGCATATACATGCAAAAATGAAATTTTTGGATCTAAATTCACAAACAATTTTGGTATTAAATAATAGGATGGGAGGGGGGAGAAAAACATTGTTTTCTTCCAATGCCAGCTCTACTTCGGACACTGTATAGCACACTTTTTGCAATTGAAGCCGTAATTATTTATAGTGCCATCATTTTTTCTCTTTTTGATTTCTGGAATGACGGCAGTGGTTGCCTAGAAATGATATATGTTCATTGTGAATTTCTTTATTCTGCTATTCAGCTGGAACATGGACAAGCTTTTTAGACAGGGATAATCCAACAGGTATCGGAGACTTCGAGGACGTGTCGGCTTTCAGGGTATAAGGATACAGGGTATACCCACGTGATGACCACGTGCTATTAACGTTGCTATAGCCGGTCTCTTAAATTTTGTAAATCTTTTATTCACAAAATATCAATTTTCATTTAAAGTTTTGGATTTCCATGTGATTGGATAAGTACAGTGATAAGCAGAGGCCATGTTAAGACATATATACGTAGTGTTTGTCGGTTTTTGTTCAAGATGCCAAACGTTTCATTTGTGTTAGATTGGTCTAGATATTAAACAATTCTTTCCTTGTAGTTCGTACTTTTCTCTTAACAATTGGTAATGAATCTTCTGTTCTCTTGACCTTTAAATATGTGGACAAATATGAGCTATATACCTTTGAGAAATAAAGGTGGAGAGAAAATTATATGTAATCAGGCATCAGTTAACCTGTTGAATAACGGAATATACGGTGATTTTGTTGGAAAATGATCTTTGGGATGGTCCTAATATGACTGTCAGAGCATGGTTCTGCCAAAATAAGTCCCTTCACAGAAGATCATCAAACTCTGCATACGCGTAGCTGTTAAAATCTATAGAAAAATATCAAAAAGTATCTGAGTGTGTCGCCAACGTCTTTGTGAGCAGCATGCACCCAGCGCTGAAGTACCATATGGCACTCAAACGCCGCACGATTCCTTAACAGGCGACACATTTCAGAGCCAGGTTGTCTCATCTGGGATGTTACTAAAACGAGTCTATTAGCAGTGTGCATTGTTTCTCAAATGAGCATTAAAGTCATGTAATTTAGTTGACTATAATAATGAAAAGTTTGTTATTGTTCTCTGTCTTAATTATGTATATACATGCACATGTACATTTATGCTAGACATTTCTTGTACACGCCTTATTCTAATAGGGTAACGGCAGTGTTACATATTTGTTAGTCTGCATATACGTCAACATCGATGTGCGCGGTATTTTCAAATATTCATCTTACAATATAGTTCCCTTTTTCTCAGGAAGACGGCATCAACCTCTGCAATGGCAGTCGCCCAATGTGCGCCAACTGTCGCGATACAGAGAGCTTAAAACATTATAACGCAACAGGAGACAAGTACGAAACCGACTTCGACTGTGGCTGGGAGAATGGTTTGATCTGTGCTACACATACCAACGGGAAGACCTGCAAAGACTACGAGGTTAAATTCAAGTGTCCAACCATAGGTACGTCGACTTATACTAGAACACTGTTGAGGGGAAATTCATCTGTATACATCCCACAGATCCTTCACTGGTGTGCAGATATCTACCGGGTACAGTGTAATTAGTTTGCCCCTTACAATCGGCGAGGAAAAATGTGAAAAATGTGTGTGTGTGTGTGTGTGTGTTGAGGTAGCGAAATGAGGATGATAAAACATGCAGCCCCCCCCCCCCCCCCCGACACGCTTTCATGCTGTTCCATAAAATGTTCAGTTTACTGGGTATTCGGATCACCACTTTCCTTAAATGAACTGGTCTAAATCTGGATTCATCGCTGCGTATAAAATGTCTATGAGACTAAGCAATAAAGAATCAGCAGGTAGCAGTTACATTCAAGAAAAAATCAAATATAGCACTCTTTCGAATACATGTAGGAAAATATCTCATGGACATGTCGGGCCACTAAATTCACATATTCTGAAAAATTCTGCTAGTAGAGGTCCAAGCAAACTTTTTCTGGCCGCGGGCGAAGGACCAGTGGCTAATGTTACAGACAGCTGTTCCATTTTTCAACAATTGCACTTCATTCATATCAAAAACAAGTGGCAGCTCTACATTTTAAACAATAAAACTGCATTTTACATGCAATAGCTTCCGTCGTATATCTGGGGCTTCTGAACGTCCTATTCATTTTTGACCTCAAGCTCTATTTGTGACTACAGGCCTTGCCCCTGTCAAATGCTTAGCAACGATCAAAACGGTAAAAAGCAGTGCTTATTTCATTTACTGCTTTGAAATAATAATAATAATAATAATAATTCACTGAACATTAAAATGTTCACAATTTGTATTTTATACGATTCTCTCTGAACGATTATTTTTACATACATGTTTAAACAAAATGCACAGATATTAAACTAAATATGGCATAATAACTTAGAAATTCCATCTCACAGGCACCTGTCCTGAATGTGCAAAGTGGACTCCCTGGTTGAACAGGGAACACGGCGGTTTGCAAGACAGGGAACTCGTGGGACCAGAGGGACATAACCCGGTAAGTATCAACCTTCTTATAATTAGTACTCAGGTTTTGGAGGCATTCGATAAAAAAAAGGGATTGGTGTATCTCATTAGTAACACACCTGGAAAAAGTGTCCGAGGCAAACAACGAAAGGCCTTCCTTTAAAATTTCGAAATTCCAATAAGACCAGTTTGGGCAACGGCGAGAAACGGAAACCTTTGGCACAATGTCATCGCTCGTCAAACACCGCAACGGTGATGGCACATGAAGAAGGCTAATTACTAGCATGCTCATGGTCTTCACCTAACGACCTTTCCTGTGACTAGAAGTTGATATGGTGGTAATTGTCTAACAATTAAACAATTGTTGATTTCGAAAATATGCAAGCTGTGACATAGTCACTTTTCTTCATTCCATGACTAATTTTTAGTGCGGATTTGGGTATAAACATACGCAGTATAATTGTGTCCGGTTAGAATCCTAAGATGACACTCAGAACAAACAGTTTTGTTTCAGCTTATTTATGCACTTTAAATTGATGTACCTATATGTCAATGTAATGAATGTGACAAAAGGTAACAAAAGATATTTTTTTCTTTTCTCAAGTGTTCTGATCATGAGCCATTAGACATCCAATGTCGCGTCAGAGGAACCAATCAGCCATGGGATCAGGCGGGCCAGAAGATCAGAGTGAAGTGCACGCCCTCTGAAGGATTCGCCTGCGACATCGCCGACCAGCAGATTGAGCAGAATTGCTACGATTACGAAGTTCGATTTCTGTGTCCGTAACATGTCCCACTAACATTATATCCCCTCAGCATCCAGCAGACGAGGAAGGGAAACAGACAATTCCGAATTGAACGACACACAACGGAACTTCAAAAATAGTACATCGTATACATGTAAAGAGATCTGCTTCATGGTATTCACCTTGAACGTTTTGTTGACTGGCTATATTCTTTGATTTAAATTAAGGATCAGTTGCCATTTTGAAAACTGTTGCAATTTAAAGCAATGAAATTTACGTATGTATGTAAATGGAAGCGCGATAAAATGAACTTCATTGGTCAAATCTTTGTGTGCTGTATGTACATCTCAAAACATATAAAAGTGGGCTCCATTATTGTTGTGATATTACAATGTATACCTGGTTTTCTATTACACCAAAAATTATTAAAGGCATACACTGTGCGCGTTTTTAAAATTCCCATAGTCATATTTTCTACGTCTATATGTCCTGCAAAACTAGTTGTCTTCCACAATTCCGTCCTTGAAAACTAGACTTGAAGACTACTCAAATCAAAGTACGTAAGGTAAAAAAAATCCATCAAAATTGTACAGAAAACATGGCGTTCTAAATGAATGGCAAGTTATATAGAAAAACATCGTTAGATTAAAAATAGAATTATCAAATTTAAATGCAGGGACGGGCCCACTAATATTTCGTGAGTGGTAGAAAAATTACTTTTTTCTTAAAGAATATTATTTTTGGCGGGTACATCCCGCAAAGAGTACCTTAAACTTTGAAGAATAAAAAAATAATAATAATAATAAAAAGTTAATATAATGAAAAAAAAAAAATAAAAACAATTACTCTACTTGCATACAACAGCTAGAATTTATGATTCAGTTGAACCATCAAATTATGGACGACACAATGCTTCTTTTCCGATTAGCGTGCACAATGTGAACTTGAACGCAAAAAGCATTAAGCCTCATAATTGTTCTACATGACACAGACAGCAGAGTAATATATAAAACTCGTGCAATCTATTTTATAATACAGCAGAATTCCATTACAATTCTTTTCTTATGATGTGTACCATATTTTTCTCTTAAATTGAATATTCGAGATAGGAGTGAACATGCAGCGACACCTAGTAGACATTATGCAAATGAACCCAGCATAATATCCGTATGCGTGTCTACATAGTATGTGTCAGGCGACCTTCGAAAAATAGGGTCCCCACAGTGCCTCGTTTTGGGATAGTTTGAACCACAGGTACACAAAAACAGCTACAATGGTAGCTTGGGGCAAAGAACAAAATTTTTTTAACAAAAAAGCTTGACATTTCAAGATTTTGATACCCATGAATTACTATTCTTAAATGAAAAGTGATGGTTACCGCAAATATCTTACCAGTATTAGTTAGTTTTGTCAGAATTTTACGCGTGGTTAGGAAAAAAGCGCATCCTTGGTGGAGCAAGTCTACTAGTATATTTCCCATCAAAACTAATACATATTAAAAACAGGGATTTGAGAAAAACAAGATAGAAGCTTTTTATTTAGGGAAACATTAATATATAAGAAATAGTTGGGGTTTATGGGTATACAGGGGATTCGATATAAACAGTTTAAAATCGGCATAGCAAGCACAAATCCTGATCCACGTTTACAAATGTTAACATAGTGGAAATCATTCCGTTATTGTAACGAAATCAAAAGAGGAAAGAAAGGCTAAGTCCGCACATTTTATGGCTTCCAAGTAAGCATTTATAGATTACGTTGCTCTTTTGGTTTGTTTTTCAGTGTTATCAGAAAGACAGAGACGAGTTTAGGTGTGGTTGCACAGTTATATCGCATAAATCAACAGGTGTCCTCTTTTGTTTGGATCCAGGGTAACACCAGTGATAAGTCACGCCTGGCACCTTTCACATTTATGTATTTTTTCAAATTTATAACACCGTGATCACCTATAGCCCCTTTTGACAGTTTGATTATATGTCTTAACTACCTGAGGGTAGTTATATAGTATTCTTTTGTTAAATTGAACCAATCTTAGTGCTCTACCAGTATAGCGAGTTCTACCAGCCGGTCTAATGTGGTTTTCCTGCGTTGTGTGGTCCGTGATGGAAGATCACCTTTCTTGTATGGATTGTTTCCTTTGGGCTCTATGGAGTTATTTTACTCCTTCGTCTGCTCTTTCAACTTCCTCCCTGTGTTATTTTACTGAAACGTTCAGCTTTCTTTCACTGTCACTGTAACAGCAATTGCATGATCTCTATCTTAACTGATAACCTTGAACGATTACATACGTGAAATATAGGCATTATAGATGCCTTTATAGATGTCTAACGGCCTTTCCTGTGCCTATAGACGCTGATATGGTGGTAATTGTGTAACACTTAAACAGTTGATGATTTGGGAAATATGCAAGCTAAGGCATACTCAATTTTCTTCATTCCATGGTTAATTTTTAGTACGGATATGAGTATAAACATACGCCGTATTGTGTCCGGTGAGTATACCAAGATGGCACTTGGAAGAAACAATTTTGTTTCACCTTAATTAATGCATTTTAAATTGACGTACCTATATGTCAATGTTATGAATGTGAAAAAAGGATACAAAAGCGACTTTTTTCTTTTCTCAAGTTTTCTGACCATGAACCATTTGACATCCGATGTCGCGTGACAGGAACTAATCAGCCCTGGGATCAGACGGGCCAGGACATCAGAGTGAAGTGCACGCCCTCTGAAGGATTCGCCTGCGAAAGCACTGACCTGCCGCTTGGGCAGAATTGCTACGATTACGAAGTTCGTTTTTTTTGTGTCCGTAACATGTTCCAATAACATTATATCCCCTCAGCACCCAGCAGACGAGGAAGTGAAACAAACAATTTCCAACTGAACGACACACAACAAGGGCACACAACAAAACTTCAAAAATAGTACTTCCGATACGTGTAAAGGGATCTGCTTCATGATATCCACCTTGAAGGTTTTGTTGACTAGTTATTCTTTTATTTAAATTAAGGATCAGTTGCCATTTTGAAAACTGTTGCAATTAACAAAAATACACTTAACGTAATGTATGTATATAGAAGCACGATGAAATGAACTTCTTCATTGGTCAAATCTTTCTGTGCCGTATGTATATGTAAAAACCAATAACATTGGACTCCAGTGCTATTGTTTAATGCATACTTGCATATTACTCTGAAAAATATTAAATGTAAATACTGTGTGCGTTTTAAAATTTCTCAAAGTCATATTTAAATCCTGCAAAGCTTCTCGTCTTTCACATTTAAGACCTTGTAAACTAGAAGACCACTAAAATAAAAGTACCTGATGTCAAAAAATCCCCATCAAAAATGTACAGAAAACATGGTGTTTTAAAATGGGGGAACATCCCGTAAAGAGTATCTTAAACAGTAAAAAAAAAAAAAACACAAACTACAAAAAAAAAAAAAATAAAAAAAATAAAAAAAAATAATAATAATAATAAAAAAAAAAAAATAAAATAAAATGAAATAAATAAATAAATAAATAAACAAATTAAAAATAAAAATAAGAATAAAAAAAAATGAATATAAGATAAAATAATTAATTATTATTTCATATAGTAGCTAGAATGTATGAGTCAGTTGACCTTTGCACATAGGGTCCCCCGAGCACCTTATTTTAGGAAACACTGTAGTTAGAACCACAGATACATAAAAACAGTCATGATGGAGTATAATCAATATACATGTATGAGGAATATTTGGTGTCGATGAATGGGTAAAAATGGATTCGATGTAAACAGTTAAAAAAACTGCGTAGCAAGCACAAACTCTTATCCACGTTAGCAAATGGTAACATACTGGAAATCATTTCGTTATTGTAACGAAGTCATGAGAGAGAAGAATCGCTGAAATCCACAGATTTTATGGCTTCCAAGCTTTTACAGATGACATTGCATGCTCCTTGGTATAATTTTCAGTGTTATCAGAGTCCAGTTTAGGTTTGGCTTCACATGCAGTTATACCGCATAAATCAACAAAGGTTTTCTTTTGTTTGGATCGAGGGTGAGATGGCCGTGTAATGCATTTTACTGCGTAATCTTTTTAATATACGCGTATTTTGAAATTATGAAACAGTGATTATCTTTATATCTCTTTTTTGTTAAGAAAGAGAGAGAGAGACAGTTTGATTTATATGTCTAACCTACCTGAGGGTAGTTAAATAACTTTCTTTAGAAAATTGTACAATTATATAGTATCGCCTTTATGTAACGTTATAAAAGCAGAGGCGTACCTTTAAAACCCCGTGGAACGGGTTATCTGATAGACGCCCTTCAGTAGCTTGATGCAGAAAAGGTCACTGCGCTACTGCAATGCACAAAAACCAGAAAAATTGACGTGGAGACGCTAAACATGTAAGTTTTCTACTTTTTTGGCTTAAAGTGAGTTCTGCATAATTAAAAGTTTTTCTTTTCGGTTGAACGATATGCAAAAGTATATGTAGCTGAACTCAGTGGCTGATTTAGAGGGGGGCAGGGGGGTGATTTCTGAAAAATACATCACACAAATATTCCTCTCTTGAAATCACAATTCTGACTAGCTAAATCATAGTTCTAAACCGTACCAAAGGGCAAGGTTTGCCCTCCAAAACACCAGATTTTTTGGGGCCCTTGAGCAGGCCCCGAACCCCACGCCAAGAAGGCGATGATCGGCTTCGCATCCGAGGCCTATCGATCCGGACTCTCTCTCCCCCCCCAACCTTCAGATAGACCTGCCTCGCCCCTGACGTATTATAAGGCAATACGGCTTACAATAAAAAGTTATGACGTGAAGTTACTGAAATTGCATGTGAATAATTTTAATAATTTAAAAATGTCTCCGACAATATGGTCCAAG